CCTCCCTCCCTCCCTCCTTTTTTCTTTAGCATCCCAAGTCCACCCAGGGATCCTTGGAGGTAGATCCTTTGTACATTTGTGAGACAAAGGAAATGGCAATGCCAGCCATAAGCATTTAAAATCACACATTGTGAAGGTTCACACAAGGCAACCCTTAGCCTCCAAAGCAAGACCCAAATAAATGCCCAAATGGTATTTTGACTCTGTGGGTCACAAAAGTTGCAAGCTTTATACAAACCCAGTTATTATTCAGGGAATAGTGTTTAACTGTTTATATATTTTTGGTATCTACTCTTTGTGTACACACACACACCCTGTATCTATCTGTCCTTCCTTCCCCACACCCATGATCTCCTAACAAAAGAAACCTGTATATGCAGAAAGATATACCCCTCCCTTGCAAATATCCTAAACTGAGACCTGCCTTCCCACCTTGCAAGTTTACAACACTGACAAGTTTTGCTCTGGAATATAATATCATTGTTCTAATGATGAAAAAAGTGCTGAAGCTGATCTATCCTGTGTTCCTGGATGTTGTTAGAAATATTTTTCTCTCCTCTTCTGCAGTACTGGCTTTAAATCTAGGCTATGCAAATTAAATTCTCATGATAACCGCTGCATTTTGGACAAACATTTTTTTAAAAATGTATGCTGCTAAAAGTGTGGATGATGGAGGAGAAAAATACCAATCTTTTCCCCAGGAATTATAATCCATTTATTCTTCCTGTTAGCATTTTTCACACAGCCTCTGCTTATGTTTCCCTCCCAACATTTTTTAGATTTTTAAAACCACTGTTTATTTTGTAAATCAAGTTCCTCACTGTAAGTCTGATGGAATGGTGATCTTAGGTCAATTTGAAGGAGGCAGCAGAAGGCAGTGGAAACACCATGTTTGGTCTTAGATTGACCTTTGCTTGTTGCTGGGAAAGAGTTGAGGCAGATCAGGTGCCAGCGTTGCTCATCCCTCTTCCTGTTGAAGACTCTTTGTCTTATCTGTCAGGTGCAGTAACCCCCCCAAAACTGAGGGTCAGTTGTGTGTGCAATGGGAATAGATAGATAACAACAAAATCATATTCCTCCCCAGCAACACCAAGAGTGCCCACCTGTTCGGGAGTGTTTTAATTGTACTCACCAATGAGATTGTAATTTACATAATTTCCTGATTGTAACTGTTTAAAATCTGATGCCTTAGGCGAGCCTGCATACTTGCTTTGGAAACAGATTCCCAAGTGCCCTTTTTCTGTACAGAATAAAGTTATAAAAAAGATTGCGGTGTCCTTGGTGCTCTCTGAGTTTGATTGTTTTCTTGCAGATGTTTTGTTACCTGACTAGGTAACATGAAGATGTTGAACATGAAGAACATGAAGATGTTACCTAGTTGGGTAATGAAATGTCTGCAAGAAAACCACTAAGCTCAGAGAACCCCAAGGATTCCACAGTTCAACCCTGAGCTACAGACATTCTCTTCTATTATAAAAAAGATTTCCATGTCTTGTGTGCTCAATCGACATTGTGTGTCAGGCAATGAGCCCAAGGTTTGGGACAACAGTTTTCTGGCAACCTAGATGGGACCTGCCTAACAGCTTTGCCTGGCTCTTGGTTCTGATTGTGGAGGGTGGGGGAATCAACGTTGGTGGTCGGTGCACATTGGACCTATTGTTCTGGGATTGCTGGTCTTGATTCCCGCCCCAAGTCTCAATGGTGCAACACCAACCTTGGAAATCTCTGAAAAGAAAACTGTGCCTGGTGGTTTGGTGTAGGGCTCACCAAAATCCCAGCGCCTTTGACTGCGTCGGAGGAGTGAGTATCCTTGATTGGATAAAATTTTCATTAGTAAGTCCACCCTAGTCCTTGACAGGGTATCAAGGTTGGGATAGAGCTCACAGATACCATAAAAAGGGAAGTCTGGAGGGGCTGGACTCCACTTAAATGGTTCAGTTGAATGGTGTGTGTTTGAAATCCCTGTGTTCAAAACCCGACTGCTGACCAGGACTGTGAATTGAATTCACCTCAGTTGCACCTAATCCAGGTGAAATATTCCTGGGGTAGAAAGGAAGGGGGGCTTGTGAGACTCATGTGTCTCAGCAGGTTGCAAAAGAGTGTGACTATAAACTGAAACCAGTAACTGGGAAATATTACATCTTGGGCAGAGATGGGTAGCAAACAAAATGGGGTCAGGACCAAGCAAGGATCAGAAGGGGGACACCCTTGGGATGTGTGTTATTAAACTTTAGGGAACTGGGAGGCGGTGACCCCTTAACCAAAAGCCAGTTAATATGTTTGTGTGAAAATGCCTGGTGGTATGAGTTAGAGGATGGATGTAGGTGGCCACCTGGAGGATCCATACTGCAGTTAATGTTATTTTGTAGAAGGATGGAAAATGGGAGGAACATATGTATGCTGAGATGTTTATGTCTATGTGGAAGAATAAGTCAAGGATGAAAAAATGTAAATTATTAGCTCCAGTTTTGATAGTTAAAGAGAAGGAAACTAAGCCAAAAATTTTGCAGGGAGTTTGAAATCCAGCTGAAGATGATGTGGTTCTTCTGCCATATGCACCACCAAGCCCTGTAAACCCTTTGCCACCACTCCCCCCCCCCCGACTGCAAAATTTACAATGTGATGATCGGGTGCTTAACTTGCTACCACCTGCATAGGTTATGCCCTCATGGTTAGAGAATGATGGCACCCAGACTCAAAACTGCTCAATGGAGTTGTCTCCTCTAGATCTGAGGCAGGAAAGGGCCAGACCAGGAGATTTTAAAGGGATGATGCTCCTTAGACAAGCACCCTGCCTAATGAACAACTGGCACTAGGACAAGCACCACAAATTATGTTTGTCCATTACCCATTCTCTACTGTAGATTTACATAATTGGAAAAATAATGTACCATCTTATAGGGAGGATCCTGATAGAATGCATTCTTTGTTTAACTCTATTTTTAAAACACACCAGTCAAATTGGGCTGATTGTGTGAGTTTAGGACAACAAGTCCTTTAGGGAAAGGGCTTAGTCCAACATAATAATATCCTCAAAATGGGCACAGGAATGGAGTTCTACTGAAGAATCTCATGGATTTGCTCCTTTGTCCATTAAATAAAATAGGAAGAATGCTAATTTTTATTCTTTTTGGAGTTCAAAATCAGTTACCAAGGAAGGAACTTCCTTTAGATAGAACAGCTTAGTAAATACTTCGTATAACACAAACAATATGCTGATCCTTAAGGTAAGTCTGGATCCAAAAATGACTCAAGCAGTGGGTGGGCGTCAGGACCCCTTTTATCCCCAAAAGTTCTTGCTTTGTTGATTAGCTGGGATTAGGTTTTTTTCCATGTCCTCAGGCCCAACTTCTTTTGTCTGGTTCAGGTCCTTTGTTTCCTTAACAACTTGCTTCCTTCTTATCTACCTTCCCGAAGGGATCTCATAGACAAGATTCCTGGCTTTTTGTCCTCTGCTTACATGCCCGCTCCATCTTTAGGTTATGACAACTTCAGCCTAGTCTTACACAGCATAACCACTATACTATGTATGGTTGTTTGAAACCATTTGAGATTCAGTATCGCTGTTCCCCTTCAGAAAGTACAAGAACTTATCACACATACATCAGCATACTGCAAACACTAAACAAACTTAGTTAATACACTAGTAAGAGGCTGAGACATTAAAAGCACTTGGAAACTAGTTCTCCTCTGAATCCCTACTAAATGGTAGAGATCCCAAGTCCTTCAAAGCTGTGTCTGTATATAGCAGTGTTGTCCAAGCTTGGCCACTTTAAGATGAGTGAACTTCAACTCCCAGAATTCCCCAGCCAGCATAGCTGGG